CCCCCTCCCGTTGACATTCGCGATACAGAGGGCGTCATACTCCACTAGCACCCCCCACACCCCACCCGTTGACATTCGCGGTACAGAGGGCTTCATGGGAGCTTTGAGGGGAGCCAGAATATATCACAGGAAGTGAATGTATATCCTGTTGTTAGTCACCTCCTGTGACTCATGATGGTTTTGCACTTCCTGTCCAGTTTGTGGGCTAAGAGCGGATGATACAGATACTGAAACCTCAATATGATAATAACCATAACACACCTTTTCTAACCAAGTAATTGATTTAATTACTTCATCAGCAGATCTTTTTGTAAGCTTCTAAAATGGAGACATTTCAAGCCATAGCTTTCCCTCAGATATTCAAATGTGTCAAACTGTGCTCTGTTAACCCTTCTTCATCTCTATTTTAAATGTCATTTTGAGGTTACATGATTTGGCACTTTTTTCGAGTATACCTGATAATTTATTTATAATTTCCAAGGACCCAACAATTCCACACGTTTTCTCTTATCCCTCTCAATGGTAGCCAAAATATGTTAACTCAATACCTCCTAATTAAAAATGTGTTCGGATTGATGATGAATTAAAAAGGTGAAACCGTAGAAGAAATATTATAAAAATGTAACAATTTTCTTTAATCTTTACCACCAAATTGTACTACTTTTTGTTTGTGCTGGAGTAAAGTTCATTTACAAGACATTTTCAAAAGGCTATTTAATGAATGTCAATGTAATGTAAAAAAAAGGGGGTTACTAAAAATATCTATTACAATGAATCCTCCGTGAAGCAAATGATTTAACCAGAATACTGAGCACCCAGCTTTACAAACAATCACCAACAAGCAACATGTGTGTTTGTTTATATTCATTGCTACTCAAATGCCTGAAAGAAAAGGTAGACTTTAGCGTACTAGATCAACTGTCTGTTAAGGATTGATCTGGAAACATTACGGCTTGTTATACATGGATGACAGAACAACTAAGGAAGGGATTATTTTCTTCTTTGTAATTTAATTGAAACACTCAGAAATACCAATATATCTACCTTTTGTAATATATCGTAATACTTTGCAGCACAGGTGAAATGGTACGGTTACATTGGACTACTGTGAATGGGTAAAAAAATGACTTCCTGTTCAGGCTGTTGGAAAAAAACAAAAGTGTGAAAGTCACATCGAGCGGGGAGTTAACGCTACCTCTCGGCCTTTTTTTAGAAACATGATTTGATATTGAGTTTGACCAAGTGCATTTTAAAGATTGTATAAAAAGCAAAAGTGCACACGGCATTCATTTGAGTCAAGTAAATATGGAAAATTCTCTGTATTGCTTTGCGAGAAGCCAACAGCGTCCTCTGTTACTGCCATCAAAAAGAAACCATTTTATTATCTGAGGACGGTTTGAATGTTTTAAAACAGTCAATGCCAAACTTCTGCACCAAGCTGGTTCATAGCCACAGTATAGATTACAAATATCTAATCGCCCTACGTGCAAAACGACAAACTCTTATCAGATCAGGGTCGAAGGGACAACATTTATGTCAGTAGTTCAAACAAAATGAAGTCGTTTTACACATTTCAAAACCCCCTCACAATGCACAAGGCACATAACTCTCATCTTGATGTGTACGTGACTTAAGAGACGCTTTTGAAACCTCACACTCTGACTGATGCAGCTTCCTGTCTTGTGGTTTGCGTCCCACTAGACTAGTAGTACGTTGAAATACAATCACATCTGCAGGTTTTATTGTTGACAGTATTTATTTACTGAGCAACACAGCTTCAATCTCAGTATTTATGACCGTTAAACATATATGTGCTTAATTAAGTGATGTGTGCAAAGAATAGGAAGGAATCTCACTTGATCTTGATTAACAATGAAAGTGAATTAAGTTGTTTGGAATAAAGTAAGGTCTTCATGCTTTTGAGATTATCAACATTTGTAAAAATCAGACTTGTGTGCGTGAAATAAATCAGATATCTTTGGCTAATTCTTTCTGCTGTTGCTCTTCACGCTGTGTTCTGTAGTTGATGTTTTTCGGCCTTCAGACAGGAGTGGAAAGGAAACTGAATTAGGGCAGACGGCTCAGAGCCTCACCCACACGCCTTGATACTAATGTTAGCTTTTCATAGTTGCACTGGCTTTTTACAGAAGTCAGCAGGTATTTAAAGATACTGTTGGTTTAGTAATTTTTTAGCAGAGGTTTTCGCCATTCTGACGGAGACTGGGGTCCTCTTTTTTTTAGCATTTACTTGTTAAATGTTGCAGGGCTGTCTCCCCCAAACCAGACAGTCTTTTGCCAGGAAAAGTGTATTTTCAAATTACACATGATTGTAATTATTATTTTGACTGTTTTTTGAAAAGTGTATTTTCAAATTACACATGATTGTAATTATTATTTTGACTGTAGTCACGGAACTAAATCAGTTCTGCAATCCCGTCTTTGTACCGATGTTCTGTAAATTATGTCTGTATTGAAATATAGTTCATGTTTAAATGGATACGATATCCGGACACATCAATGTCTGTTTTCGGTGTATTCAGCAAATTAGCTTCCTGACAGCAAAGTACTTCATTCAACATCATAAAACATTTTTGCTAAAATCCAACATTCGAAAATCAATACATACAAAACAAATATATATTGTTACACAATATACACGTCATCATGTCGCACGCTTCGAAAAGGAAAACTATTTATTTGGCTTTGGAACGAACATATGTTATTCTTCATCTTTGTTTGATTTATTCAATTTACTTAACATAGAAGAGTGAAAAGGTTTGTCTCGAGATGCTTCTAGAAGATATGGTCTGGTCCACGGTTCAACCTGCAGAACAAGACAAGAGGACAGAACAAGGCATCAGTTTGCATTCAAAGTATCAACAATAACATTTATTTTCTTTCACTATATCCAGGAGAGAAGTATGATACCATTTCTGCAAAGTAAGGACGATCCATCCTCAGGGGAACATGAACACCAGGGCTATATTTCTATGCAATCAATTCAATATTTGATATTTCAGTCTGCCCAAACTGGTGGACAGACCAAAGTCTTTAAATGGCCACACTGGTTTTATAGCAGTGTATTTTACTACTGCAATCTTTTAAATAGCTTTTTTAGAGTCTACAAAACTGTATTCATGAGCCGAGGTGCTCGATTACAATGCCACAACAAACTGTACCTGAAGTACAAAGTAGAGAGGTCATTTCCAGCACAATGCCAAAACAAACTCTACCTAGTAGTAGTAGTAGTAGTAGTAGTAGTAGTAGTAACGGGAATCTGTTTTGGTTTCAAGACCCCGGTTCACGGAGGATACCAAAAAACTCCTAGAATAACAAGGTAACTAATGTGGATTTAAAAAGAGGAATAGTTTCGGGGAAAACTAAAAGGTACCATGGGGTCAGATTAGAATTTTCCAAAAGGTGGTTCGTTTAGCATGAAACACTTGAAATAAGGATAAGTTAAAAAGAAAGTGAGGTCAAAGAAAATTATTTCTGCTAAAAAGTTACCAATGATCGAGAGTCAGAGCTAAACATTTCAGATGTGTGGATCTCACACTGCACTGT